TTAAGGGTTTTGTTATCGTATTCAACCACCATAAACGCAATTTTTTTTTTTTTGTTTTGTTTTTTTATGCCTGGTTGTACAGAATTTTTGCAATTATTCGCAATATTGATGTATGCTCGCTTTTATATGAGCACTTGTAGGCAATTTTTCTTTAATTATCTTCTTCTCTGCTTCTGTTTTCTTAAAATTAATTTCATTCAAAATTGAAACAGAAGACACGTGCACAGTTTATACAGTCACTTGTGTACATTTCAAGACCAATAAGCAAAATTAATGTGAAAAAGGAAACTTGATGAAAAAAACAAAAAAAATAAATAAAAATAAAAAATAAAAATTAAAGGACTTGAGTTACTTGCTTTAAGTGGATACACGAATACAATTACATCGCCACGATCAAAGCTTATATGAAACGGTAATGATGCTCGAAAAGCCATACGCAGGTTAAGTAGAATCTTTTGATGACTACTTTAACTTCATTTAAGAAAATGTACAGAAATATTCCACGTATTTATTTACTTACATATGTATATATGTATATATGTATATATTTATAAAGAGGTCTAAGAAAAAATAGCATTCTATCCTTCGTCTTCCGTGTTTTCTGACCATGCACTTTATGCTTTGAAAAAGGTCGGTTTTCTTTCGCCCCAAGTATTTAATGGTGGATTCAAGCATATTTTTAAGCATGGAGCCAAAAGATAAGTTCTCTACTAATGTGTCTGTTTGGACAGGGCGGAATGGAATTTGAATGCTGTCTTGGTAAACCTGCTATTGAGTTGAAAAACAGATTTCTAATAAGATATCTCGTACGGACAGACAGGCAACCATGAACGGTATTGGAAGCATTGAAAACCTTGCCTGGCTTAAGAGTGTATGCAACTCGCCTTGGCAGATGCTTCTAGAAGCAAAATGGCAAGTAACGTTATATTATACTTTACCTTTCATACATGAATAAATAAACACTTAATGTTATTTCACAATTAGCGGAATATAACTTTGTCTTTCTCAGCCATAGGCCGCTAATAGTAATTAATTGTAATATTATTATTACATATCTTGCTTGAAAAAACACATATGTGCAGAATATTATCGTTGTATAAGTGAAGTCAAAGAGAAAAAAAAGGTACGAAACAAATTTCATTAAACAGCAGCATAGAAAGGTTTATATTCTTCACTCATTCAATGTGAAATAAACAGATTGATAACACGCCTAAGTTGCAAATGTAATGACAAACTTAAGAGTTCGTGCATTAAACGGTTTTTCTTGTTTTTTGTTTTTTTTTTATTTTTTTTGATGATAATCGATAGTAAAATGTTCACTTACGTTATCATTGGATCGGGCGAACCGCCAATACTGCTGCAAGTCAATTCCATTGGTTTATCTTCAGTTGCGACGGCCACATTACCAGGTGATATGACGGGCGGATGTGGCGGTGTTAAAACAGTTAAATTATAAAATTCCTGATGCACATCAGCCCCGGTGCCTTTGGCTTTGATACGGCACTCAAACCGTCCATTGTCACGGTTATATGAGGTATTTTTAATCTGCAGATCATAAATGCCACTCTTCGGACGGAAATCGAGTCTGAAATAGTCATAATAAAAGGAAAAAATTAAGTAAGAAAGAAGAAAATGAAAGAGAGATGATAAGTAATGTCTTAATAAGAGTTGTGATGCAATCGATGTCATAGTAGAAGGATACGAAGGAAAGATTATAGTAAACGAATGAAAAGCACATTAAAGACTTTTTGATAAAACAAAACAAAACGAAACGAAACGAAATAACGAATGAATAAATAAATTGAAGAAGAAATTCAAACATTATCTCGCTGAAGGGATTCTTTAATTTCTCTCATTTTTTTCAATTTGAATTTAAGCCACGTGCTCTTAATATCGTATTGCGCCTTTTCTAGGTTAATGCAAGCCATTGTCATTGATTCTTGCAAACGTTCTTTTTTTTTTTAGTAATCAAAATATGTAAGCTTTTCGAAAGGTTACTTCACCAGGGGTAGCTGTTCAAATGACCATTGAGATGAAAACAAAAAAAGAGAAAAAAACTTGAAAAGAACGTTAATGCATATAAATTTCAAGTGTCCTTGAAACATATTCTCTTTTCACTTATATTCGTTTACATTAACTTTCTTTTTCTACTTCGTTTATCACATTTGCCCTCTAAGAGTATCAAATGCTATCAGAGAACTGTTTAAGTGACCTCTTCTCTAAGGTAGACAGACGACAAAGTTAATGAAGCGAATTTTTTCTTTTTTTTTTTTTTTCTCAGTATATTTGCTGATGCTACGTTTTTTCTTTTTCTTTTTGTTTTTTTTTTTTTCCTTTGCTTTAGTAATAAATACACATCGCATTCAATATTTTCTATGTTTGCATGTATGTGACTGAGTTTATGGTTCTTGTTGAACTTTTCTGATACTTGATAAGCTTTTTTTTTCTCGCAATGAAGAAATTTTGTGCAAAATATAAAAAACTCAAGTGCATGAATAGAAAAAGAAAAAAAAAAAAAATAGAAAATAAATTCAGGGAATATTTTGCAGACTTTTTCAACAACTCATCAAGAACCATCAAATTTACACTAACGAGAAGTTTTAAGTAAAACATACTTTAAGAATTTAATGATATACACTATCACATATTAACTGTAGTAGACTAATAAAGGGAGACATACTATTTAGGGGAAAATAAAATGTTGAAGATTAGGATTTTTCCCTTTTTACTGCAAGTTGGTCAAAACTCTTAGTTGGAGCTATTAATAAACATAAAGCTCATTGCGTGTTCGCTTGTATCCAATTTATTGGAGAATTCAAAATTGGAATACCTTTAACCCTAATCTTCGCATCTGCCCGTCAGTCGCTGAGAATGAAAAAGATTTAATTTTTTTGCTTACATTACACTTATCCAGAAACCAGTCCCTATATTGAAATATAAAATATTCCCTGCGCCGGCCATCTATATTTTTTCATTCAATGCCAGAAGATGAGGATTATATTTACTTTTGCAATATCCCAAAGGAAGCTACGGCAACCTAACAACGTGTCCGTGTCAAATTCTAACTCGATTTAAACATCCTCTTGCCCCTATAAGTATGTTATCAATATTAAATTCCGAATCCATTGAAGAACGCCTATTCGCCCATGTAACGCTTGTTGTAAACAGACTCCGGGCCGCAAGGTATCTATCGCCTTCAAGTTTGGTAGAAACAGAACCTCGTAAGTTAAGAATATTTCCGGTTTCCCATGGGAAACAAAATTGAACAACAAAAAGGAACAAGGAGTTGAACTCTTTCCTGTCTATTCGTAAAAGAAAGGAGTCCAACTAAATATGTGGGTAGATAGAATATTGCGGCATTGGATCAAAAGAGCCGCAGCCAACAACGGTTCATTGGCCGCGGCAAACTTCCGTCTCAAGAAAGTCCACACCAGAACTAAATACGTAGCATTTGTTTTCCACTTTCAGCGCAATGTGTAACTTAAATACACGCGGGTTGTTTGTAGCACAGTTCTATTATAAAGGTTGAGTGTGTTTGGTCCTAAGATAAATTTCAATTTTACCTCATTATTATTCTTATTCCCATTGACACGATTTAAAATAACAAGTTAAAAGGTTTTACTCTTTTTTTTTTTTTTTTGCTTTTATATAATAAAATTTCTTTATTGGTTTATTTACTATAAATAAATTCATTTTCAATAACTAAAATAACATAAATGTTTCAAGTTTGAATTGGAAAAATGACAAAAAAAAACAATTTTTTTTTTTGCATATGCCAGCAATTTTTGAACATAACTGAAAAGCTTTAAATTTAAAAATATTTTTTAATAAGCATTTAGTAAATGTGATTTTGATAAAACTAAAATATTATTTAATAGGCCACAGCCCGAACAGGATAAAATGCAAAGTATAACAATACAAAAAAAAAGAAAAAAAAAACCCCAAATTCTTCCATAGCATAATAAGAGAGAATAAATAACACACAAAAGCTATCAACTTTCGAAATTACATAGAAATATGTACAACTAATGTGTGCTTATATTGTATATGGTTAGTCCATATGAATGTTGCCTTTGTATGAACGTACAGGTAGCTTTAAGCCAAAACACGGCAGATAAATATTTGATTCCTTTTTCAATTGAGTAACAATATCATTAAAAAATTCAATTTCTTCGAAACTTAGTCCAAAATACAAAATTTCTAATATGTGTTCACATTGCAGTCTGTTTTCTAAATATGCAGGTTTCCGTCAGTAGAAAATATGATATGACATCTGTCTCTCCAGGGGATAATTTTCAATTACGAAAGTAAATCACTGAGCGAGTAGAATCGCTAGAGTTTATTATAAGGAGCCTTCTGGAGTAATCGGGCTTTGCTAAAATTGAGAGTAAGAATTTATCGGCTTTTTTGACAAAAGTGAAAATAGTTTCATTCCACCGTTCGTAGTGTGGATACGAAATGCGCCGGTTTACTGTTTTAGATCGTCTATAGGGACAGAGGTCGTCTATAGGTTTAGCAAGCTTTTTCAAAAACTTCCACTTCAATTCAAGGCAAAAGCATTTTCTGGAGTAAATATATCTTGAAGGCAAAGCCGAGTGTTTAGTAACAAAATCAGTGAAAGTCACAATGCTGTGTCTTCCGAATAGCGCAGTAAGGAGTTTTGGTTACAAAATCGGGCAAAATGCGGTTTGATGATGAGGAGTAATAGAGTGTTGTGTAGACACACACTTCGAACATCCAAATATCCGAAGACCCAAAATGCAAATCTCACGAAATTTTGCAAAAGTTTTGCGTGGTCTTTGGCAAATGCGCGTCATATAGATTCAACTCAACATATTGATCGTTTTTAAAGTGGGCGTACAATGCTTAGACTTTGCTTGGAGATAAGCACTCATCGCTATAAATTTGTTACATGAACTGAGGCGTTTCAGTAAAAAATTTGTTAAAAATGCATTTTGATAATCACCGCTGATTCGCGGATTCGATATTCTTTATGTTTTTTCTCCACCGTATCATCCGAAGAAATCACTTAATAAAAATCTTTTGGATTATTATTCTTTGATATATTGAATCGGACGGATATACACATTAGGCCCAAATCGTAAGTTTATTGTGAGATATCGCGTTGTAGCAGGGACATCTGCCACCTACAGGTTTCCATACAAATATATATATGAATATGCATATGTATGCATTTGTTTATGCTTTTTGTATAAAATATGAAATGCTATTTTCATACAAAGATAACAAAATATGCATTTAATTAAGAACAATTTGAAAATTTTAAAACATTTTCAAATGAAAATAACATTTAGTGTTTTACTAATGTCTCCACATTGCATGTATCATCAGAGCTAGATAAATATACATTTACGAAAAAACTGAAAGTAAAAAAAATGCATAAAATTCATAAACTTGCATTTGTAGATAGATGCTTGTGTTTTAAAAATAATAAGAAAATTAATTTCATTTTAATTATATAAACAAACCAAAGAACAGAGAGTGCGAGAGAAGGACTTCAGTTAAATCTGATGCTAATGAAATATTGTTTGTGTGAAAAAATTCTCACCCCCGGGTGGACTAAATATGTGAACTAAAATTTCTTTGAATTTTCAAGCAATGTTAATAAGTCCTGCGGTGGGAGTTATAATAATGCGGGCACACACACTATTCTCTTCGAACTTTCACGTTCGTATATCCTTTTACATATACCCCAATATGTCATTTTTTCCATGTTGTCCAAAATGCATTAAAAAAAATTTGATTACAATAGAACGCTCGGGGCATTTTAATTGGAAAATATGAGTTTGATTAATTCGGTCATTAAAATATTTTTCAACATATTATGACAGACCAAGCTTGTGCTTCCATTTTCGCAATCCTTTACAAACGGACAGTAGACAGTAATAGAAATCGATAGCTTGTCTTATATCTATTCATAAACTGAATGCCTTTTCCAATCTTAATTATTGCACTTCACCGAAAGATGAGCGGTATATTCATTTTGTCGAAACGTATGCAGCAACACCAAGGGGGAAGCTCTTCAGAGATTGCACAAAGTACATATATTCTTGGTCAGCATCAAGCACATCCGTCTGCACATCGGTCCGATCGTTTGCCTGCGTTACGTCTGTTCTAAACATTCTCCGGCTGTCAACTTTAAATTTGGCAAAAACATTGAAAGCTTTCCACGCAGGTTGGATTTGAAAATGTTTCCGTCTGTCAATGTGTTTTTCAAAAGCAATAATAAATTATTTTTCTTCTAATTACTCATAACAAGCTGCTGCAGATAAATCTACAAACATCTGAACGTTTGCTCTATAGGTGTTTCTGTAACTTCTGTACAAATGTGGGAAGAAAGCTTCAAACACTCCATAAAGTATATAAATTCTTGGCCAATTTCAAATTCGGAATGCACTTAAGCATGTCCGTTTGCTCCTCTCCTATCTGGCCGATTGCCCAAATGTGTATTATACGTGGTAAACATTCTCCCTTTCGTAAAAATTAAGATATCGACTACAAGTTTACAAAAGAAAGCGAAAGTGATCCAAAGCGGTCAAAGAATATGTCTAAAAACTTTCACGC